GCACCTGCATGGAGAAGCACCAGCTGGTGTGGTGCGGGGGGCGGGGGTCAGCCTGCCAGTCCAGGGCTACTCTCCCCAGCTCAACGTACTGCAGAGGGGCTGGCTGGGGCATGTGTGTGTTTAAGTGCAGGGCTAGGTGGCAAGCAGCCCCCACACTCACTGAAGCACCCTTGTGCCCCAACCAGCCCCTCTAGTGTCTACAGGTACACTGCTGAAGAGTTTTTTGGTGAATACAAGTACTGTCCTACTGCAGAGTAGATTAGTTTACTCCAGCCTAATAGGGCACACAGATGCTAATTTACTGTGCAGCTAATTAGTTTGCTGTGCAGTAAAAATCTTGTGTAGATGTGCTTGTGATTTTCTGTAAGTATAGTTTAGATTAGTAGAAAACAAAACCAGCATTTGCCCTTTGGTGGTGGGGGGGAAGGGTGCACAGATCTTAGGCTGGGTTCCTCCATTTTTAAACCAGTCTGTGTGCGCCGAACTTCTGTTCTAGGGATACAGGTGGTACCCATATTGGTCTACAGGAAAAAGACATCAGAACTCATGGTAGAGCTGCTGTTTTTTATTAGACAAACTAGATATTCACAAATAAATTCTTTATTTGCAAAGCTTTCGGACACACACACCCTTCCTCAGGCATTGGAGAATATAAAGATTGCAAAATTTCTCCTAACTGGAAATGAAAATTCCTATTTCACAGGACAATTGAAGGTGTTATAAGATCTCCTGGTTTGAAATGAAAACTTAATCATTTTACAAGTAGGAAGCAAAATTTACCACCTTAGAACCTGAAAGTTGACACCTTGGGTCCTGCTTTTCGTTTGAGCTAAATATACATGTTCACAGAGCTCAAAGCTGTCTCAACACAAGAGAAATTCCTTGTCTAGGAGAGCATCCATTACCCTACCTCCTGTGAAATATTAAACATCATCACTAGAAGGAAACATTTTAACTTCCTGCTTGACATCAGACAACTTTGAGGTAAGTAGACTGTTCTAAATTTTATCTGAGCCTAATTTGCACAAAATGAACTGTTCCAACCAGAAGATATTACAATACCTTAAGCTCTCCTATGAAATAGGAATTTTCATTTCCATCTAGGAGGAATTTTACAATCTTTGCTTTCTCTTATGCCTGAGAGAGGGTGTGCGCGCCCAAAAGCTTTCAAATAAATAGATATTTTTTTCAAATATCTCTTGGGCCTAATAAAAAATATCACCTCTACCATGAGTTCTGAACTTCTGTTATGGGTATAGACCAGTTTTTGATCTCTAATACATTTAAGAGTATAATGTATGTACTTGACCTTGGAGACTCATTGTGTATTACATTCTATAGATTTTAGAATGAATTTTATAAAAGCCCTTTTAGTATCTTTAGAAATTTGTTGATTTAATCCTTGTAAAATTATATGGGATTTTCCCATGTGCATGTGTGTGAGAAGGGAAGGCAAAAAGCACAAAAAAATGGTTCATTTCCTCTGATTCTTGATGGATTCATAGTAAACCAATTTCATTTTGCAGAGTACAAGAAAGATGGTCAAACTTTCAGAGAAATGTTAAATTTAAGTTGTTCTTGGCTTTTTCTTCTCTCTTGAAAAATGTTCATTCTTGGGTTCTTTTTAACGACTCTCTCCATTTTACAAACCTTCTGGGACTTATTATACATTAAATGAACAAACAGTGCTTCAGCAAAAGCACATTTGAGCTTCATTTGAAACCTGAATTAATCTGCAAAGTGATGTAAAATGATCTTTGGAGGTGAAGGAAAGTAGAGGTTTTGAAGAAAGCATTTTATTTCAAACTTAACACCTATAATTAGATTCTCAAAGAGAGGTTTTAGTAATAGATAGTCACAATTCTAAAAAAATTATGGAATATTAAGCATTTTCTCCCATGAAGTATGAAAGTGCAAGAAACACTCTTGGAAGAGTGATTATTTTAAAATAATTGCAGGATAGCACTATTTATTACTTCTGCAAATGATCACTACCTTCCTTTTTTTTAGTCACTTTCACTGTATTGGAAAACAGAGCTCATCTTTGATAATTAGTTAACAAATATATACACCTGATAACAGGGCAGAACTATTTTACTTTGTGAAATAACAAGGAAGATGAATTATTGTATGGATGATGAGGCTTCATAAAGCTTCCTTGTAGCAAAGAATGTCTGTTTTATTTACTGGCAAGCTTTATAAAATATCTGATATTTATTTTATTACTATACTTCACCAAACCTGTGTATCAGCTCAGATACAATTAATCTTTTGCTAGCACATATGGCAATCTTGCCATTCTTAAGGTTGAGACTTATTGCTGACACTGGCAGTAGAGAGAGTTACCCCAGTTCCACGCTTTTTCTCTTGTATATTCCCTTTGAAAACGGGGAGTTTTGTTTTTCGAGTAAGGGGAATATGGTCAGTTAGCACAAAATTGCATAGGAAGAAGAACGGTGCAATTGGTCAATTGTACTTTAGAAAAAACCCTGCCTATAGCTTTTCTTTCAGGCTTGTATTCAACAGGGAAGCTCTGAGAGAGAAGTTTAACAAATAACTAAAACAACTCGTTCAATGCTTTTTTTCCAGGGAAGTCACTGAGGCTAGGGACAGAAGTTAAACAAAGGTTTAAGTGATCCAAAACCAGTTTAAACCTGTAACATAACAGAAGTTCAGTGCAGTTAAACCACTTACAAAATGAGCAAAACTGATATGAGATAAATCTGGTTCAGTGTACTACAGACTTAACTGATTTAGGTCAAACCGGTTTATGGAATTTCTGTCCCAGACCCCTTCCTGGTTCAAGTTGAATCTCAGTGCCCCAGCATCCCAGGATACTTTGCAACCCTGGGCTGTGCTTTCTGCTCCAGTGGAGCAGACTTGGCCCCACCCCTCTAGGGAGCACTATCATGGCTCCAGCTGGCTGAGAAGGGGGTGGGGGTAGGAAACCTGGCTCTAAACCCCAGCCAGCATCTGCCTCTCAGTCTTTTCCCTTGCTCCATGCTCAAGCAGAGGGGTGGGGGGCATAACCAGATGCCAGGTAGGCCAACAGACTGAGGCAGAGGGGTGGGAAGGGGTTTAAACCCCCTCCATCACCCGCAAGGGACCCCAGCTGGAATCTGCCTGGCTTTTCTCCTGCTCTCTGCTTGAGTGGAGGGGCAGGGGACATAGCTAGATGCCAGCCAGGCCAGCATGTTGAGGTGGGGGGTGGGGAAGGGGGCAGCCCTGTCAAGCCCCTGCCCCCTGCTCAAGCAGAAAGCCAGGGCACGGCCATGCCCAAGCCAGGGGCTCGCAGGCTCAGGTGGGGAGGGAGGGGTGTAAATGGCTGGGGTTTGCCTTGGAGGGCAGCCCTTGCCAGGCTTTTGCCCCTCCCTTGCTACTTGCTCTAGTGGAGAGGGGGATGTGGCCACACCCTTGCCCAGGGTTCATACACCCAGCTGGGAAGGGAGGGGGTTTTAAATGCCCTGCCTCCCCACCTCAACATGCCAGCCCAGGGCTGGGGCATTGCACCACCCCCATTCTCTGCTTGAGTAAGGGAGAAAACCTTGGCAAAGGCTGCCCTCTCCCCCACTTCAGGGCAAACCCCAACCCCCCAGCCTCATGGGACCCCAGCCGGGGTCTGCCTGGCAGGTGCAATCAGCCCTTGCCTGGCTTTTTCCCTGCTCCCCACTCAGGCAGAGGGGCAGGGGCTGTGGCCAGACATTGGCCAGGCTGGCATGCTGAGGTGAGGGGGAGGACACTTAACCTCCCCGCTTCCCGTGAAGGGAGCCCAGCTGGGGTCTGCCTGGCAGGGGTGAAGTAGCCCCCTGGCTTTTCACCTATTCCCCACTCAAGCAGGGAGTGGGGACCTGGCAGGGCTGCCTCCCTCCTCACCTTCACCTCAGTAAGCCAGCCTGGTTGGCATCTAGCTATGCCCCCTCCTCCTCTCCACTTGAGGGGGGAGCAAGGGAAAAGCCAGGCAAGGGCTGCTTCTCCCCTGCAGGCTGGGGTCCCATGCAGGCAAGGGCTGCTTCTCCCCTCCCCAGCTGGGGTCCCATGCAGAGGGTGTGTGGAGGGGAGTTTCAACTCCCTTCCCTGGTTCCAGACTCCAGCTGGGGTTTGCCCTGGAGGAGGGTGGGTGGCGGGCAGCCCCTGCCATGCTCCTGCCTCCCCACTGGGGTGGAAGAAAAGGGAAGCCCTTGCTGGCATGTGACTTTATTCTGTCATGTGGCTTTATTTCTGGAATCTAAAGTGAATGTCTGTTCACTTGTTACTGAATCAGAGTAACAGTAGAGGATGTTAGAATCACTCTGCATTGGTACCAGTGACTATACAAGGTTCAGAGCAATAGCAGGTCAACAAATGAGTTTTCTTCCTAGTCTCTAGATGTGTCTTCTCATATGCTGTGAGCGCTTGTGCCAGGGGATGGCAAGTCTGAGCTACAATTAACTTCTAGTGGGCTAATAACCATCTCTATCTCTATATACATATATTGCTATCACTATCGCTATAGCTATAGATATTGATATGGCTCCCTGTATTTTGCCTCAGTGTACCACAGATGCTTGTAAAGGTCCAGCACAATGTGAGAGTAATGTGATCTATAGGGAAGGCACCAAATCATTGCCATTCTTTTCGCTTTAGGCTAAGACTCAACAGATATAGACTTAACTTCCTGCTCTGCCACAGACTTTCTTTGTGACCATGGGCCACAGTGACTCTCTGTGTAATGGAAATGACAGTACTTCCCTACTTGGAGTGTTATGAAGATGCCTACCTTAAAGAAGGTTACTTTTATGGTCATGAGGCCCCTAAAGTATTTAAGGTTTGATCTGTACTACAGTCTATAGAGTCAATTATGCTGATGAACTGCTGCTTTTTTGCTTAGAAGAATTAATTTAACAGGACTGGTGAATCTGGGCATAGAGGGAAGGTGTTTCTTAAGGACAGCAGCTAAAAGTAAATGTGGTTTGCACTTTTACCAAGATTTTTTTTTTATAATTATCTTGTTTTAAATGCAGGTGAACCAAGGAAATTTGACCCAAAGTTCAGAGGACCTATTCATAACAGGTAAATATCTTATTTAGTTTATTAGTTTTACTGTGAACTGAGAATTAAGAATGCTGTTAACTAAGAAATTATTAGTTTTATTTTACATCTTATTTTTACCTTGCAGATGGTTAGAAGGTCATCCTTGCCGTAACTTACAACTTTCAATCTCTAGGGAAAACCAGGATGAGAGCTCATGATCTTGTGATTTCAGACATATATTTAGGCCCTATTCTACCTTCCCTGCATCGTAGAATATTTTCCTTACTTCATTGTATTGTTTTCTAATTACTCTCTGCCTGATTTATATTGGATAGAACCTGCTGTAAGATTTTACTCATTATGACTCAGTGGGTGTGTCTACACATGCATTTGATGCGGGAGCAGTTTACTCACCAGAGCAGTAAATGCTTTGATGAGGGAGCAGTAAACACTCCCAGGCAGACGTCTACACATGGAGGGAAGCAGGAGCAGACTTGCTGCTAATGTTAATTAGCTAATTAATGCTAATCTACATATTTGCCAATATTAGGGTGCAGTAAATTAATTAACTCCGTCATTGGATAGTATTGTTGGGATAGCACTGTCTTATGGCAGAGTACTTTACTGCGCTGAAATGAACATGTAGATGGTGACCAAGGGCATAAGTTGCACCTGGTTAGCCTAGCTAGCTGGGGCCTGCTCTGCCGTGGCTCAAATTGTTGCTGTCACTAGCACACGTGTGCTCCCACTGCTGTACCAGGCTCCCCAACGCGAAGTGCTGCGGAGTTTATTGGGTATCCAGGTTGCTGCAGAGTTTATCGTGTCACATTAATTGCATGTGTAGATGCACCCAGTCACAGAGTAATTGGACTGCTCCAGGGGCTGAGCTGTTACTCCTGAAGCTGTTACTCAAATAAATAATCTTTACTTACATGAATAATCTTGCTCCTGAGGCTGCCTGTGAACATAGAGACTGCAGAATCACACTTTATATGTTGCAATCTAATCATATTTCTAAGCAGCCTATTACTGTGACATGCTTCCATGTGCCTGAGGAGTTGCGAAGCACTGAAGTTGATAAGCTAGGGAGAAACAAGGTTTGCAAGCATTGAACTTGATCCTTGATCCTGACTACAGCAAAATTTCCATTAGAGATAATAAGTGTTCAGGGTCAGGCTCTAACTGCTTTGCAGCAGTTGTTGAGCAGCCTAACAAGTTATGTTACACTGCTTGGTTAAATTCACATGTTTACTCTATGGTTTCTTATTACTAATGGGTAGTTACCAAGGCAGTCTCTGCAACAGTATGTGCATATGCTATTCATGTTGTATGTTCCACAACAGGTTCTTAAAAAACTAAACAGCAACAGCTAACCCCGCTATATCATTGCTATATCATGAAAGGTCAGTGTATTTTATAATGCTCTGGGGAGAAAGGCAGTCTTGGAGTTGATATTTGTCCTCAGGTCTTATAGCCCTTTTTTCCTTTGGTATTCTTGTCAATCCTGGAGTTCTACTTTCTTCTCCTGCCTGCTTATTCTTTTTCAGAGTAGCGAGAAGCAATTGGCAGGAGAATTCTTTGACATTTTTCTGTGCCTGATTATCTTTTAACAACTGTGTCCTATGGGCTAGGGACAGAAGTTACACACAAACTAGTTTAAGTGATCAGAAACTGGTTTAAACCTGTAAGAGAACAAAAGTACAGTGCACATAACCACTAAACATAGTTTCAAAATGGCTGAACCTGGTTTGGATAAACCTGGTTGAATGTAGTATCAGATTTAACTGACTGAGGTCAAACTGGTTTATGGAACTTCTGTCTTAGACCCCTTCCTGGTTCAAGTTAAACCAGAGTCCCCCAGCATCCCAGCATGCTTTTCAGTCCTGGGCTGGACTGGGATGTCTGCTCCAGAGAGCAGAGCTGTCTCTGCCCCTCTGCTCTCTAGCTAGAGCAGGGGCAGGGGTGTGGCCAGACACCTGCCCAGCATGGCCCCCTGAGGTGAAGAGGGCAGGGAAGGGATTTATTCCCCACCTCCCTTCTCCCCCTGGGGGACCTCAGCTAGGGTCTGCCTGACCCAGTACAGCAGCCCCTATCAGGCATTCCTCCCTGTCCTTGCTGCTGGATCAGTGGAGGGGGCCATGCTGCGGCCAGGGTCTAGTCATGCTCCCTCCCACCCAAAAAGCCTGGCAAGGGCTGCTTCCCCCCTCCCTGTCCAGGCACACCCTGGCTGGGCTCCTTTCAGGGTAGGGTGGGGATTTAAACCACTCCCCAGTCATACTCAGGCCTGTCAGGGCCTGGCCATGCCCCTTCCATCAGCTTCCCTTGACCACTGAGGAAGAGAAGGGGGGGCTCACTCTAGTTCCCCATGGCTTCTGGCTTGAGCCACTGCAGGCGTGTGCCTGCATTTTCTGAATCAGAAGTGAATGTCTGTTCACTTGCTTGCCAGTTCAATCTACACAGGTTAGACTAACCTGCAAAGATTGAATCAATTCAGGCTTGAGCTTTTTGAATGTCTGTAACTTAACCACGATATCAAGGAAACATCATTATCCTTCCAGGGCTGGGCACATTTTTTAGATTTTGAGTTGTCACAGAAACTCTATTTTTCAATGGCCACCATTATTTTCTCATTTACAAAGATTGTTCCTTGCCATTAGCATCTCCTTGTGATACTGTGACTAGTGTTCATGTGTGCCACTGTTAAATATTGGGTGGAGTCAGAATAGCTTGACTGTATCATAGCCCAATTCTTCTAATAACTAATGGAGGGTTCTCTTATCTTAAAAGTTCATGCATATCTCAAGGATGGTCCAGTGGCTAGGGAGATTTGGGTTCAATACTGTCCTCTGTCACAGGCTTCTTTATGACCTTGGGCTTAATACTCAATCTCTGTGCCTCAGTTTCCCATAGTACTTCCTCATCCTGTGAAGGTGGTGTGAGAACAAGTATATTGCTAGCTTTAAACTAAGCACTAAGAGGTCTACAATATGTAAAGCCTTGGCAGAAATCTATTTTTATTTTTAATAGTTTTGATGGATATCACTGTTTATTTTTAAGCATTTATTTCAATTTTTATTGATTTACATTTTCAGGATTGTGCAAAGTTAGAGGTGTGGGAGGCAGACAATTTATTAATGTTGTATACTATTGTTATAGTGCAGTTTAACTGCCCACCTCAACAAATGTAATTACTGTGGATTGCCAGTTCTGTAGAACTGCCTCCCCCCCGTTGTCACACGCTCCATCAGCCATCGTTTTTCTTATGCCCCTTTTCTATAAATTTCAGTTATTAGCAACAGCAATATTTTTTTGTCGGTGTGAGGTGAAATCGACATTTATCATACAATAAAGATTGAATCCTGCAAAGCCTAAATATGCATTATAGAAAACAGTAAAAAAATTATGTTACATAAAAGGCACATGCAATACCTCTCTCTCTTTAAAAAAGAGTTTGACATTTATTAAATTACAACAAACCATAACAGGCAATAAAGTTTCTTTCAACTATAGAGAAAAAATGAATGTGAAACAATGTTTGTAGAAAATAAGGTCCAGCTAGTGGTTACTTGAACAATCTCCATCCTCAGAAGGATCCTCTACAGAATCCACAGAAAGAAAAGGGACCCTCTGTGTTTCATTTGGTGGTGACCCCGGGGGATTTGGGAGGGTCCCACTTCCTCTAAGAGGGGGAAAGTAACAAAAAAAGAAGCCAACAGACCTTTTGCCCAGACCAGAGATCCAGTAATAAGTATAAGGGTGGAGCAGATCTTCTCCCTCTTTGTACACAGAACATATAAATTGGTATGTGTGCACATACTTTTACTCTCTTGTATGTGGTCTGACCTCTTGTTCACACTCTGTAGGCTTATTGATCAGGGACTAAGTTTATGTTGTTTTCATGCATGAGTGATACCATTTTCTAGGAACCAAAACTTGTAGCTGGCAAGTGGTATTGGTCTCTCTCTGAAGGTGGAGGTGCAGAGAATTGTTGGAAAGTCCCAAGCTCATGGTGCCTGTTGCAGAATCCATTGCCTCTCAGAATGGGCTGCATATTACATCTATTATGGGGTGTTTCAAGCTGCTGTTTTAGCCTCATAATTACTTAAATGAATAGTGTAGGG